TGTGTGTGTGTGTGTGTGTGTGTGTGTGAGTGTGTGTGTGTGTGAGTCTGTGTGTGTGTGAGTCTGTGTCTGTGTCTCTGTGTGTATGTGTGTATGAGTCTGTGTGTGTGTGAGTCTGTGTGTGTGTGCATCTGTGTGTCTGTGTCTCTGTGTGTGTGTGTGTGTGTGTGAGTCTCTGTGTGTGTGTGAGTCTCTGTGTGTGAGTCTCTGTGTGTGTGAGTCTGTGTGGGTAAGTGTGTGTGAGTCTCTCTCTCTGTGTGAGTCTCTGTGTGTGAGTCTGTGTGTGTGTGAGTCTCTCTGTGTGTGGAAGTCTGTGTGTGTGTGTCTGTGTGTTTGTCTGTGTGTCTGTCTGTGTGAGTCTGTGTGAGTCAGTGTGTGTCTCTGTGTGTGAGTCTGTGTGTGTGTGTGAGAGAGACAGGATTTCTCTGTGTAGCTTTAGAGCCTATCCTGGAACTCGCTCTGTAGACCAGGCTGGCCTCAAACTCACAGAGATCCACCTGCCTCTGCCTCCCAAGTGTTGGGATTAAAGGCCTGTGCCACCACCGCCAGGCTCATGTATGTATTTTTTGTAGAATTTACTTATTTATTGTATGTGTGTCTTAGCTAAGTTTCTACCACTGTGGTAGTGACTGACTAGAAGCAACACCCTGAGGAAAAGCTCTCCTTCATCTTAGCTCTCAGGTCACACTCCATCCCTGAGGGATGTCGAGGTAGGAACTCAAGGCAGGAACCTGGAAGCAAGCACTGAAGCAGGAGCCGTGGAGAAACACTGTCTCACAAACAAAAGAAAGAAACAAAGAAACAAAGAAAGAAACAAAGAAAAGGAGATGGGGAAGTAGAGAGAGAGAGAGAGAGAGAGAGAGAGAGAGAGAGAGAGAGAGAGAATGTCCCACAAGTTTACCTACACTCATGCTTGAAAGCAAGCATTCTTCCAGCCAAAACACCAGCCTGGGCCTGTGGTACTGTGAGTCCTTGCTGTCAAGGTCCAGACCACCAGTCCCTGCCCTTCCTGAATCTTGGCTCTTCAGCTTCTTGGGATGAACTCTATCATCCCTCCATAAATTCCTTTAGGTGAGTTGATCCTTGTCACTGGCCTCCAGATGAATTGCACCAGGCTGGCAGTGGGAGATGAGGACAGTTGGTGGCTTTGTTGAACAGCTTGGCACCTGTGTGACAGCTGGAACTCACTGGGGCTGGGCGCAGAAGAAAGGAGATGTTGGATATTGACAGTTTCATCCCTCTTCAGAATCCCTAGCTGAAAGCAGACATGGGTCAGGTCACTCAGAGAGCTCCAGAAGGCGTAAGAAATGATATGGTTGGCCAACAAGATAGAGCAGGAATGAAGAAGGCACATGATTGTCAAGGCTGTATTATGAAAGAAACTGTGGCTCCAACCTCCCTGCCTTGGACAGTGGCCTTTCAGGGAAACCAGGCATGTCGTGAGGGCGCATAAGCCACCGTGTGGAGTTGACCATGAGGTGAGGAGTTGAGGCCATCGACCTGCCAACCCTGGGAGTGGGCTACCTTCTGTGCAGCTCCTCAGGACCAGTCAAGCCTCCAGGCAACAAGCAAGCCAACTGACATCTTGATCACAGCTTCCTGAGGGATCCCGAGCTGGAAGCACACGGGCTAAGGCTCTCCTCGAGCTCTGCAGAACCAGCCAGGAAAGTCGTGTGCCACTGTCCTCAGTGTACGGTGTGGGTAGATTGTGCCCTGGATGCATGTGACTGAGAGCTGAGGCTCACACAGTGCTGGAATCACTGGAAAGCAGTCATGGATGGAATGATGGAATAAGGTGATGTGGCTCAGCCTTGCCTCAGTGGGACTTCAAGGACCAAGGACAGCCCACACAGAAGTCACAGCTTTTCCTGCTTGGGGAGAAGCAGAGGGCGAGTCCCTCTGCACACGGAGGGAAGAGGTCCAAACCACTGAGAAAAAACGCTAGCTTCCCCCTCTTCGTCAGCTGTGCCCTGCTTCCTCCTTACAAGACCCAAAAGAAATCAACAGCCCCTTTAACAGCCACGTTCCCAGGATTTCTGACAACACCTGCACTGATGGCCAGGAACTGCCTGGCCTCCGAAGAGGTTATCCATTGTAGTCTTTCCATGAAAAGAAAGAAACTAGAGAACAACAACAACAAAAACAAAACCAAAAAAACCCCAAGACCAGAACCCAAAACAGAACCCAGACCAGAACCTAAGCCAGAGCCCAGACCAGAACCTAAGCCAGAGCCCAGATCAGACCCTCCTGCAGTTTCTGCCCAGACCAGAGCCCAGATCAGACCCTCCTGCAGTTTCTTAGAGCATTTTTGAAGAAATGAAATATTATCTTTGCAAAACACCCAGGGACTCTCCTGTTGGGTGTCTGGAGTATGGCTGGGCTGTAGCTCAGTGGCAGAACACTTGCCTAGTGTGCATGAAGTCCTGGGTTCAATCCCCAGTGCTGCAAACAAAAACAAGCCACAAAGGAGCCCAGGGTTCTGGCTCAGAGCTGTCCAGGCATGCCTCTCAGGGAAGAAAGCAGAAGGCAAGCTCCCGGCTATGCTCATCATGTGGGCACTTAGGGACCAGAGCCATTTCCCTCAGGGAAAGGTAGGCACAGAGAACTTCACGGTTGTTTGTCTCCTGCTTCCTCATCCTCCATAAATCTTTTTGGTTCTGGTGTGTGTGTGTGTGTGTGTGTGTGTGTGTGTGTGTGTGTGTGTGTTTAGACAAGGTCTCAGTCTGTAGCCTAGCCTGGAACTCATTATGTAGCTCAAGTTGGCCTCAGACTACAATTCTCCTGCCCCAGCCTCCTGAGGGCTAGGATTACAGGCATGAATCATCACTGCACCTGAATTCCTTCAATCACTCTTCTACTAAGTTTCCACTGGGCCTTACTTCCTCAGGCTTTAGGGACAGCACCTCCCTCCAGACCTGGGGTTCACTTCCCAAATAACCCTACTCTTTTTTTCCTCAGATACTCTCCTTGGGGGACTTCCTGAGGCTTGGACACAGTACTGTGGAGACCACTGTCCTGCTACCCCAGTCGCTGGCTCTCACCCTAACTTGCTCCATCCCTGTGGTTGCAGGAAGATTTTCTTCCCCTATGTCCTAGAGTCCGGCGCTTCGGGAAGGACCAAGAAGCTGGAGAAAGCCCTGTCCAGTCCCCCGGAGAGCTCTAGGAACCCCATTCCACAGGTGCCCCCGACCCCTGTGATGACCCCAGCACAGATCTCAGACTGGAGTGGCTGCCCACCACCTCTATCGGTACCACCATCCCTGGGTGGGCTGAGGGGAAAGCATATTCACTCCAGCACTCTCTGCCTGCTGAACTGACATGGGCTAGTTGGACCAACTCTGCAGCCTTCTGGAGCTGGGCCGACCCTGGGGTGTAGGCAGAGTTTTTCATCTAGACCACTGATAAGTTCTGTCCCCTCAGCTGCTGGCCAAAAAGCCAACACCAAGACTCGACATTAATTATAAATGCTTGGCTGATAGCTCGGGCTTATTACTAACCAGCGCTTACAACTATTAATCTATGTGCTGCCACATGGCGCATGGCACATGGCGCATGGCGCACGGCTTCGCCTGTCCTCTAGCATGTCTTGCTCCCTCTGTATCTCCTGACGATTCTTCTGGCTCCATCCTTTTTCCCAATCTCTCCAACCCAGCTATAGGCCAGTCAGCTCTTTATTAACCAACGAGAGTAATACATATTTATAGTACAGAGACTGTACTAGGGAGCCATTATTCATGCTGTGGGGCTTTCAGGGCCAGGCCGGGGCAGACAAATGGTGAGACACAGGGGCATTCCAGCCAATCCCCTGATTTCAGTTGCGAGGTTCATGCTGGTAATCTCAGCATTCTGAAAGCTAGGCAGGAGGATTGCTGTGAGCGCAGGACCATCTGTGAGTTGGAGACCAATGTCTGTGTAGCTGAGCGGTGGCATCTCCCACAGTCTGGGAAGCCTGAGGGAGAGAGAAGTGTGGGTGACACCTGCCACTGCAGGGTGACAAGAGCCTGAAGGAGGTTACAAAAGCAAAGTCCTTTAGTCAACTTCCAGTGAGGAGAATTTTCCAGAAAGAGAAACACAAAGAGGCAAACCGGAGGCTGAGTGGGTGACACCACGAGGAGGCAGAATTCAGCGAGTGGGGCAGCACAGACAGGAGCTACAGGCAGACATGTCGGGGAGAACTCAGGAGTGTGAGCGTGCATCTACAGTTTCTGGCGCTGAAAGGAATGACTGAATCCGTAACCAGACACATTTGTAGCCCTGGGTAGTCCTGCAGTAGTGCAACCAGACTCCCAGAGGTCAGCAAGGGTCAAAAGCGGGCAGGCCTGCTGGGTGCCTGTCCATGCTTTCCCTCCCACATAGCTGAGCATTTGCCACAGCGCCACCTGCTGGCCGGCACTAACTGTGGCCAGAATTAGAGGTTGTTGCCTGAACGGGGACTGCCTTGAGATGTCCCCCTGAGAAACTGCCAGTGCCTGATTCATCTTCATCAGAACGGCCACAAACAAACAAACAAACTGGGCGTTGTGGTGCAGGCCTGTAATCATAACACTTGGGAGGCGAAATCAGGAAGGATGGTGAGTCCAAGCTCAGCCTGGGCTACATAGTGAGGCTGTTCATAATGCAAAAATAAAACAAATACGTGCTTTGGAACAGGCAAAGAGGTTTCTGGGTGCCCGTCCTCCTGGAGAAGGGCAGGATGTCATCTTCAGTACTTTTTTTTCTACCTCTTTTGTTTGTTTGTTTTCGAGGCAGGGTTTCTCTGTGAAACAGTCCTGGCTGTCTTGGAACTCACTCTGGAGACCAGGCTGGCCTGGAACTCACAGAGATCCACCTGCTTCTGCCTCCTGAGTGCTGGGATCAAAAGGAGAGATGGCTTAGCTGTTAGGAGCATTTGCTGCTCTCGCAGAAGACTAGAATTTGGTCTCCAGCACCCATGTTGGCACTGCATACATTCCTATGAGAGCACAAGACCTGGTCTACAAAACCAGTTCCAGAACAGCTAGGACTATTACAGAGAAATCTTGTCTCAGAAAGAAAGGGGGGGGGGAGAAAAGAGAAAAAAAAAGAAAACAAAAAAAGAATCGTTCTTAAAAATCATGTGGGGCCTGGAGAGATGGCTCAGAGGTTAAGAGCACTGGCTGCTCTTCCAGAGGTCCTGAGTTCAATTCCCAGCAACCACATGGTGGCTCACAACTATCTCTAATGAGATCTAGCGCCCTCTTCTGGTGTGCAGGCATGTATGCAGACAGAACACTGTTTACATAATAAATAATCTTAAAAAAAAAAAAAAGAGTTCATAGTCTGGCCTGGAGGTGGTGGCGCACACCTTTAATCTTAGCACTTGGGAGGCAGCCGCAGGTGGATCTCTTAGTTTGAGACCAGCCTGCTCTACATTAGTGAGTTCCAGGACAGCCAGGACTACAGAGAGAAACCTTATCTAAAAAAAAAAAAAAAAAGCCCTCCCAAAACAACCCATAATGCAAATGACTCCTTCCCAGGATAGATCACATATAGGAAAGGTCAAACTCTCATTTAAAATTGTTTTACTGTCTAACTGGCTCCTTATTAATGACAAAGTTCACAAAAGACTTTGGCATGAGTTCACTGTTTTATTCGTATAAGGATTATGATTTGACGTTTTTGAAAATTATATTTGTTTTGAGACGGGTGTGGTGACACTCCTGTAATCCCAGCACTCGCCAGCTGAAGGCAGGAAGATCGGGAGTTCAAGGTCATCCTCAGCTAAACAGCAAATTCGAGGCAGCCTGCGATCCAGAAGGAAGACTCTGTCTCACAAAATGAGCACGGAGGAGGGGCCGGGAGGAGAGATGGCTCAGCAGTTAGCACACCGCACTTGCAGAGTTTGTTTCCCACACGTGCGGCTCACAACCAGCTGCAACTCCAGTCCCAGGGCCCCCAAGTCACCTCCAACCTCCATGGGCACCAGGCACCCACGTGGTGCCAGACACACGTGCAGGGGAAACACTCAGTGGTCCTTAAAAAGCTGGGCGTTGGAGGCGCACGCTTTTAATCCCAGCACTCGGGAGGCAGAGGCAGGTGGATCTCTGTGAGTTCGAGGCCAGCCTGGTCTCCAGAGCGAGTGCCAGGACAGCCTCCAAAGCTACACAGAGAAACCCTGTCTCGGAAAACCAAAAAACAAAAAACAAAAAAAATTAGATTAAAAGAGCATTAGTTAGTTTATGTTTATGCCACAGGCTGAAACCCTCGGTGCTGAAGAAATCTGTGGCGTGGCCACACCTTCCTGTCCCCCGGTGTGTTCAGGTGGGACAGCAATAGTCACCTCTGTACAATCCTGTAGGCAGCCCTGTGTCTGTGTGTGTGAGTGTTGTGAGAGTGTAGAGTGTGTGTGTGTGTGACAGTGTCTGTGGCAGACCACCACAGATGGCTGGATCACGTCTCACTACTGATACAACACAGCCCGCTGGACAGCAGGTGCAGTCAATGTACTCAGTGTAGCCCTCTGAGCCTCGGTCTCCGTTTCTGAGAAACACTGCGTGCTGGACCTGTAGATGGCAACAAAAGATCTTCTCCATTCTGTGATTCTCCTGACTCAGGCGCACACACACACACACACACACACACACACACACACACACACACACACACACACACGCGTGCGCACGCGCACTCACACACGTACTCATACACTCACACAGTCACACTCACATACACACTCACACTCACATAATACACACACTCTCACACACTCACACGCACTCACACACTCTCACACACTTACAATACTCACATACACACTCACACTCACACTCATGCACACTCACACACTCACTCACAATACTCACATACACACTCACACACTCACACTCACGCACACTCTCACACACTCACTCTCACTCACACTCACACACTCACTCTCACTCACACTCACAACTCACTCACACACTCACACACTCACTCTCACTCACACTCACACACTCACACACTTGCTCACAATACTCACATACACACTCACACACTCACACTCATGCACACTCACAATACTCACATACACACTCACACACTCACACTCATGCACACTCACAATACTCACATACACACTCACTCACACACACAGCACGGAGGGGGCTCTTGGGTAACTTCGGGATGCTTTTCATTTTTCCCGCTAACTTTCTGCTCTCATCTTTCACCTCGTCCTCAGGACACCAACAACAGGAAACAGGTCATTCCCTCCATCCGCAGAGTCACACACGAAGAGTTAACACTCGTGCCTGACTCATGAGTGAGAGGAATGGGGACTGCTCAGCAGAAAATGGTCCCCAACCCTGGAGGACTGACAGGGAAGTCAGGGCACTGGAGGAGAGCGGCTGGAATGACTGGACTTCCTCCTGGCCTCAGAGCAGCGCACCCCTAGCTGGATGGAGCAGGAGACCTGTTTGCTTGCTCTCTGCTTCTGCACTGAAACCTTCTCCGCTGAGAAGGCCATACTGAGTCCCACACCACCCGGGATCTTGGCGCCACCTTGTGGTTATTTCTGGAACTGCGCATCCAGGTTGAGTCACCTAGAGATCCAAAAGCAAGAGAGTGCCAGGACAATTGTCAGGTCCTGCACCCTCCTTATGCCCATTTTTCCTCATCTCTCGTTCTCCCTTTCTTTTTACTTGTGACCTGGGTATGAAGACCAGGCCTCTTTACTTGCCAAGCAAGTGCTCTGCCACTGAGCTTGCCCCCAGACTTCTTTTCCAATTATTTAGCACTGACTATAGCACCCATGTTCACTTTAGAACAGCTTTAAAGGCCATTGAGGCTCCCACTTTACAGATGCAGAAAATGAGGCTCAGAAAGATGGATTTTTCCCAAGAGCACAAAAAAGCATTTTCTATAGCCGAGAAGGGCAGTGATCCTGCATGTCTGAGCTTGAGACACTTTGTCTCAAATCCAAGTGTTTGGGGTGCTGTAAAAGACCCTGGTCTGGACACTTGGATGTCCTGTCGTCTGGCCTCAGAGTCTGGCAATGCCTTCATTATGTGTCTGTCTCCCACTCAGGACTCTGGGCTTCCTGAGAGTCCAAGATTTATCTGTTTCCGTCAATGCTGTGTCCCCAAAACTCATAATGGATTTCAGGACACATGGTGTGTTGTCAATAAATGTTGTGAATAAACAAGTAAGATGAACAATGACAGGATGAAGAGGAGACTTATCCTTACCCAAGAGGCCTTCACAGCCTAGAAAAGGACAGATTGGTGAAGGGTATCAAATACCATATACCCAG